ATCCAAACGCCGAGCACATTGTGGTCTCTTAGACTGGCATTGATCCAAGCACAAAGAAGTGTTAAATTGCTCCTCGTTTTCTGGCATCAAATGGGGATAGGATTTAGTCTATAGTCGATGTCCCCTTCGTTGATGCGAGTTGCCCGGCCCTCAATTTCAATCCAGAAGGGGTGCCGGCCGCCCCTCAGGTGGGGGATGGAGAGTTTAGGGTTTCATGTGTCCGTCCTATTTGCGGTTTGCTCCTCGTTTTCTGGCATCAAATGGGGATAGGATAGTCGATAGTCGATGTCCCCTTCGCTGATGCGAGTTGCCCGGCCCCCAATTTGAATCCAGAAGGGGTGCCGGGCGCCCCTCAGGTGGCGGATGGATAGTTTAGGGTTTCGTGTGTCCATCCTATTTGCAGTTTGCTCCTTGTTTTCTGGCATCAAATGGGGATAGGATAGTTGATGGTCGATAGTCGATGTCCCCTTCGTTGATGTGAGTTGCCCGGCCCCCAATTTCAATCCAGAAGGGGCGCTGGCCGCCCCTCAGGTGGGGGATGGATAGTTTAGGGTTTCGTGTGTCCGTCCTATTTGCGGCGTCTTTGATGATTGTTGGCTGGGGTGTTTGATGAGGGTGATTTTCATTAGGGGCAGGCTTCAATGGCAGGAGGTCAATCCTTCCCTGTAGTGGGGAAGTAATCAGTGCCTCTGCTATTTTGTAAGACATGGCGGATATGGTGGAAAAGGGATTTGGTGCCACATGACATAATATACACATAGGATGAATACAATCATATACAGATAGTATGAATACAATCACATAGTATTGGATGCACGCAACACATCTCCACAAATCATAGAATAGGGACACTGGGACGGTTTTCCAGTTGTCACTCATCATATCATTGTACAGGAACGCTGGACCCGATTTCCAGCAGGTGCAGCTCCCCACCAATAGATGGAGCCTTCAACGCTGGGCCCCACTTAACAAGGCTGCTCTTATCACCTCGCTAAGTGGGTTCTCCCACACACGAAGTTTCCCATAAAAAAAAAGAAAGAAAAAAAAAAAAGAAGTGAGCAGAAAGAACAGAGCAATAATCGCACACATATTGACAGTATTGAAATATCCTGAGGAAGAATCAATCCCTCTTTACTTTTTTTCTTGGGAAAACTAGGGTGCTGTCGCGGTTAGGTGACGGTTTTAGTTTGAAAATGCGTTTCAGTCACGACTTTGCGAATGTTGTGTCAAACCAAGGAAAACTGTGAATGTATTGCGAATGTTGTGTCAAACTGAGGAAAACTGTGAATGTATACAAACCTGCTTTAGGGTCGGGTGGGGATGTGTTGTATTTGAGGGATGCCTGAATTGCATTTAAAAACTGAAATCATGTCTGCGCCCTAGTTACCCCTTTTTTCTTTTTAACAGCCACTGCCTCCGAGCGTCTTTTTGCCAACTTGAATGCGCAAAAGAACTGAGTGCCAAGCTTTGACATTGCACCAGCACGACTTCCCCCCCCCCCCCTTTTGGCTGGTCCTGCCAGCCTTTTTGGTCCGGTAGCACTGTTCTCCTGAAGAATCGGGAATGATTCATTTTGGTGTTCCGAGTTTGCCCGTGAAAGGCAGCTCCTTTATCCGGGGGCTGGTGAGAGAACCGCCCGGATTGAAGTCTGCAGGTAGGATGCCTCCAATCTAATTGTGGGGAGCTGGACCTGTTGGAAAATGGGTCCAGCATTTCACTATTCACATGATCTAGAACAGAAAGAATAGATGTGACAAGGTGGTATGATCTTTCGCATAAAAGGCCAGATAAAGTTGGTTGGTGGGGATCCGGTCCCTTCAGCTTGGCTTCGAGGCGGCATATCTCTGCATCGCATCCTACTAGCAGGTTTCCTCCCCTGATGTTGCATTAAGCCAACTCCCCTTGCCCGTACCATGACAGTTCTTTCTTTTTTTTTTAAACACAACGGTTACCCCGTTTTTGCCAGAGGATGGGGGTGGGTCCTTGGACTCCGTGGCACGCCTCAGTCCCCTCTCCCAAATCAGGCTAAATCCACTATTATACTCTTCCCTGAGGGAGAGTCGGGGTACTGGAATTCTGAAGCTGACCTCATTCGTAGTACCTGATCACAGGTCACCCAATCACAGAATCTCAGTTTTAGCCCCTGAGGTCTAGAGGCATCCCCCTGGGTAATTCAACCTTTCACCGCAGAATTCGTTGATTTTTTCGTCTGTTTCTTGTTCGGTTTTTTTTTTTTTTTTTTTACCTATATTTTTTTTTTTTTTTTTTTTTTTTTTTTTTTTTTTTCTTTTTCTTTTTCTTTTTTCTTTCTGATGTTGTCCAGTGTTGTTTTCCACTCATCCAGGTGATGATGTTCTCCCGGACTTTGTGGTCTGGGTGAACATCCCCTCATTCATAGGTGAACCGGGCAGTCCATATTCCCCACATCATCGCCTCTATCCCTACCCGATACCAGCCCTCTACAAAATCTGTTCCACTGGGTTTCTAGTGGCAGTCAAGGAGGATGGCTTTCCAGATCCATGGTCGGTCCGTCTCCCCAGTTAGCCATCTCCATATTCTGTCCCACAATCTCCACAGCACCACCGTCTTTGGGCACGAGGGAAAGAGGTGTTCCGGTGTTTCTCTGATTTTCTATGCAGGGAGATATGCTAGCCAGTGTTCGCACCAGAGTACCAAGAAGCCTTTCTGCTCTAGGTGAGTGTGATCAATGAGCCAGTTTGTTAGTTTTTTTCCATTAAAGGGCTATAAACTTTGCCAGTTTGCTTTTGTAGCCTGTAATGAGCAACACGGGCATAGTATCCGCCCAGCACAACTATTTTTCGCTTTGGTTGTTCTACGTTGTGTTGTTAATCAAACCTGGAGGTTCTAGCCCGTTGTTATCACTGTTTATCTTGAAGCTCGGTTATGGCACTTTCAGAGATGTGCTTGACTTCGTGATTGCTTGCGTAATCGCTTGGTTGTAATATGCTTCTTCACCATCCACCACCATCTCCAGTAGCCCTCTCACCCTCCATGCCCTCTCATTTTTGACCCAGCAAATGGGGCGGAGTGAGGTGGTACTGCACGTCTGCCCCCTTCACGGACCTGCCCTTGTTCCACAAATATCATTTTTTCCTCTCATACAATATGTACTTCGCTGACTTTCCCTTCCAATTCTGTCTCTCGTACACAACCTTCTTCCATGAATGAGGTCCCCTCTTTTACTATTGCCAACTATTCCAGTGTGATCCACTATTAATTCATCCAGGTAGGTTTTCCCATGCTGAAGTTTGCTATAAAAAAAAAAGAAAAAAGAAAAAAGAAAAAAGAAAAAAAAAAACATCCAGCCACTCCTCGCAGGTCTTCCTTGAATTTCCAGGTCGCACGCAATGGGCATTCTGGAGGTCCTGGGTTTAAACCACGAGTACTTGGGCACTGCGCGCCGCGCCGGCCGCCCAAATCTCGAAGCAGCGCGGGCTGTCGATTCGATTTATCGACGGCCCGCCGGCCACGGAAATCACGTAGCATTAACGCTAAGGCGACGCCCAAGTACTGGTGGTTTAATCCCCATTGCCCTCATGTACCTTCCTGGTTAAGCTTGGCGTCCACCACCTAGAGATAGCCCTTCGGTCCCCCCAAGCGGCATTGACTGCTGATGTTCGTAGGGGGAGGGGAACCGGAGGGGAGGCACAGCGACTAGCCCATCAAACAAGATCGGTCCTGAAGGCTGATGCTACCGGCTGACTCCTGGCCGGCATCGCCCACCTGCAGGTCGGGTGCAGCCCCCGCAGCTTCCGTCGTTGGAGGCTTGAACTCGGGTCGGTTGCTACGGGGTTCCCCGTAATACTATAGACGAGAGGAAGGGTGGGTAGGGGGCTTCTTAGGGGAACCGGGAAAAAAAAAAAAATGGCTGAAAGGCCGTCCTGTCAAGGTTTGACAGACACTTTTTTTTTTTCCAAGTAACACAGCTGAAAGCAGATAGGAGTGATGGAACGAGCATGCACTCCTACCTACCCCGCCAGTGACTCCACTCTATTGGTGGGAAGTAGCACCTGAGGGAAACCGGCTCCAGCATCCCAAGAATACATTACGGAGATCATATGTGACGAATATCTGTGGGGTACGCCCGGCTTCTGCTTAAACCACCAGTACTTGGCCCAGCTATCGGCTGTGGAAAAAACTAGAGTAGAAGTGTTTCTAGTTGGATGAATTTGGGTGCTCCTGTAGTAGCCCGTACGTTTCCTAAAATCATGGCGTGTTAACGGGCATGACTCTAGGAAGTACTGGTGGTTTAATTGACGACATCAAGCATAAAACGAGACTGCCACAACTTAGGAGTATGTCTAGTTAGTCTTAGGCAGAAATACCAGGGAAAGGTCTCCGATCGGACATCTGGTAATCTAGAATATAATGATTTCAACCATATTCGCTGCCAGAAATAGAAGGTACTAGAATTAGGGGAATACGGGATCAAACGTGTAAACAGAAGTTATACATGAACGTTATCTGCCTCCAGAACCCCGCCTGGGCTCTGGCAGAGCTCCCGCAATCGCTGGGTGGACCTCCCACAAGGTCTTGATGCGGCCTTGTGGGTTGCAATCCCACCTGGCACCTTCCTCTCCCGAATAACATATCAGACTTAGAGTAAAAAGTGTAGTAGGAAACTTAGTCCCCCAAGATTGAGGAAGAGGTTCACTCAAAGGCGTTGTTGTCTTCAACTCTTGAGGACCCCGCAATGATGGCCAACGCAATGACCACAGTCAAAATTGTAGTCAGGATGAAGTAATAACACGTCAAAAGGCTTGGAAGTCGCAATAGCTCTCCAATCATGCGTCATAAACTGCCCAACTCACGACACGCCGATCATCCTAACGAAACAGTAGCTATGTAGTCTCAACGTTCAACTTTGTTTTCGAATACAGCAAACCCTCTGTGCTCGATTCAAATATGGGCTATAACAGCCAAGCACAGACCTGCGGTTCCAACAACAATGTCCTGGCGTAGTCGATAATGACGCTTTCCTCGAAATATGTGCAACTCTGGTATGACTATACCACCCTCAAAGAGTGACACCTTAAAATGATAACGACGACTATTGACAGCCATCGAACCGCTGTCGCTTCTGCCAACATGATCGCTTGACGATGGCTCGTAAATCAGAACTCTGCCGCCACGTACACTCCCGTGGTACAGAAGAACAGCGCGAGTCGTAGAAGCTCCGAGCTGAATCGCGGGTGATGGACTTGCCGAATTGTCGAAATGTCGCCACGTGGCGCCAACATGTGATCATCGAGAGCCCACTCAGTAAGAAAACTCATGGCGATGGCGATGGGGACGAAGTACGAGAAAGGTCGATAGATGCAAGAGGGGATGAAAGCGATAAGGAGTCGCCGTCCTCGTCTGTAGCGAAGGAGGAAGCGGACACAGCTGAAGATGGAGAGGAAGGGAGAGGACATAGATAGGACACGTGGCGGGCGATCGGTCGAGCCGATCGACTTCTCGAGACCTCCGGCACGAGGCGCACGGTGTTCACCCCGTTCGGTCCTAGTTTGATCACACGAAATCGCCGGAAGAATCGTGGCGCTATCTTCCCTTGGCGAGCACATTTCCTCACCTGCAGGTCTTGCACCAGGTCCCCTAATTTATATTGGGGTCGCGGTCCTGCGTTCCCATTCCGGGTTTCGTAGCTACGGACCTGTCGGCCGTGGGCCAACTCAGTCATTTTCTGGCGTTTTCGGGCTAATCGGGGAAGGGACCGTTCCATCAGCTCCATGTGCCACTTGGCCTTGTCCCGAACGGTGGCCCTTGTGGGCCGTCGGTTCAATGAAGATTCGTCGGGGAGGCTCGGTATCGAGACACAAGCTACAATTGGAAAGGGCTAAGGCCCGTCGATTCGTGAGGTGTTCCTCAGACGGCCAAGATGTGGTCTACGATATCGAGTCTGGGCCTCGGGTCCCGTGCCGCGATGTTTCGTCACAACGCTGTCTTTATCACTCGATTTGCGTTTTCCACTAGACCATTAGATTGCGATATGTAGGGTGCAGTATTCCGAAAGGTGACGCCATGTACGACCAGATTCCTTAAAACTTCCCCTCTGAATTCTACCCCATTGTCGGTCAGGATTTCCTTTGTGTTGTGATGCATCCCTAAGAACCAGTTGACATATCGCGCGATTTCAGCTGCTTGTTGTATACGACACGGGTATACCTCAATCCATTTCAAAAAATGGTCTACAAATACTAGTAGGATTGAATATTCGCAGCTATTCGGTCCAGGGGGCACCACAATATCGGTAGTATCCATGCTAACCCTCTGAAACGACCGTTCAACTATCGTCAGTACTATCGATCTTGGTGGATGGATCGGCGTTTTGTCAGCAGCGCAGACCTAGCAATTCGCGATGATGAATTTCACATCATAGCACTCGTTCTTGTCGATTGCCGCCTCCGTGATTCGTACGACAAAATGGGCTGCAGTTTCCTCATGCGCCGTCTTAACCCAGTCATACCTCATGAACGGGTGCGGCACTACCATCCAAATCCCACTACCATCCGTCTTTCGTTTTTTTCTAACCGACCCTCGTTCCAGCGATAGTCCCTAGCCCTTTCGTTGGGCCTCCTCCGATCTTCCTTGGTGAAGTCCTGGAGGGGGTTACCTACCAAGGTAGCTATTAGAGCAATGTCCGTCCATACCTCGGCCCTTCTAAACTTCCGGGTTTTTTCCAACCCTTCTGACGTGGCGTCGAGAAATCGAGTCTCAGCCGGGATCTTATCAGTATGACATAAGGGACACAACCAAGGTTTATCGCCATTTCTATACTGGATGCACGAGCCATGGGCTCGTGCGACACACTGTCGACAATCTATCCATTCTACATACCCTTCCCCACTAGGACGCATAGGGATTGAGTAGACGCGCGAGATTGCTTCGCAAAAATAGCAAAATTTGTCGGGTAGGGAAAAAAGAGATGAAGACGAGAGGGGAGAGAAAGGAGTTGCGAGATTACCGCCCTCACCCATTGCCAATTACCTGCCTCTTGCCACGTGGAAGGACTGCCACTTGTCCGTACTTGGGTCCGTTCGCTGACTCCGGTTCCTTCCACAAAATGATTTCTTCGCGCTTCGGTACCTTAGCGGGGTGATGCAGATGTGTCAACCCATCCGCGTTGCCATGCCTCTCTGTCTTTCGATGGATGATGTCGAAGTCGTGTTCCTGTAGGCGCACCGCCCACCATCCAATCATACCCGTGTAATTAGTGAGCTTCTTGAGAGTCAGTAATGACTCGTGATCGGTTACAAGGAGAAACTTATGCCCGTACAAGTATGGATGGAAGTGTTGGATTCCCCGGACTATGGCATAGAATTCACCTTGCGGGGCTGAGTCGTTCCTTTGTTCGTCTGACACCGTGCGAGATGCGTATTCAATGACGTGTTCTCGACCGTTGTTCCCCTTCTGCGCTAGAATAGCGAAGATCGCTTCTGGCTGCCAGTCTGTGATAAGAATGAATTGCTTCGTAGGGTCCGGCCAGATAAAAACAGGTGCGGTCGCCAAAGCGCCTTTGAGGGTGGCGAAGGCCTGCTCGCACTTTGTGTCCCAACTAAAGGGCTGGTCCTTTCGCAGCAGATTCGTCGGTGGTCGCGCAATCGCAACGAAGCCTTTGATAAAACGTCGGTAGTACGATGCTAGTCTCAGGAAAGCTCGAACCTGCGTCATTGACGTGGGGACAAGAGCATCTTTCACCGCCGCGACCTTCCTCGAGTCTGGTCGCAGTCCTCCACGTGTCACTACGTAACCCAAGAACGAGATCTCCGAGAGGAAAAGCTCGCTCTTCTCGAGCGCGATCTTGAACCCAGTGTCTCTCAGTCCGTTCAATGTGTTGGGCATGCCCGTGAAAGGTCTCCGAGTAGACGAGGATGTCGTCCATGTACACGATGGCGCAGAAGTTAATCATCCCTAAGTCAGTCGTGTCTTGTTGACGAAGTTCTGGAATGTCACGTTCATAGCCCGCTGAAACATGGCAGGCGCGTTGCAAGTCCCCATCGGACATCGAACGCACTGCCACGTGCCTTCGAATAGTACAAAAGTCGTTCTCGGTCGATCTTCCTCCTTAACCAGAATGTGATGGAAGTCGTGACGACTATCAAATTTTTCTAAAATAATTAGCACAACCATTGCAATTGCATCCAGCAAATCATCAATTCTGGGAAGGGGGTACATATCTTTAATCGTGATGTCATTCAACTTGCGATAATTAATGCATATGCGAATCGATCCGTTCTTTTTCGGCACCAATACTACTGAGAATGACCATGGCCCAGTGGCGGGTTCGATCCAACCATTAGCTTCGAATTCCCGAATCCGCTCAAGGGTCATTTTCAGTTCAACCAGGGAGTATCTGTAGGGCTTACAGTGAATCGGGGGATGGTTTCCGGTTTGAATCTCGTGTTGTATGACTAACGACAGTCCAATGTCTGTGTCTGTCAGACTAATCACTCCTTTGTACTCTTTCAGATTTTCGCGATTGGATGATGGATCTCATTAGGCACATATTGGGGCACGTGCAACTCGTATAGTTCATCCCATATCCGTACATCGATGTGTTTCATACTCACCCGCTTAGTGTTTTCGGGCGGGGGCGCAGAAATAAACGAATTATCCGATCGCCAGAAGAATACTGTGGCCATCATTTGTGCGTCCTGTTCTCGAATGGCCACGTGTTCTTCCGGTGTAATTTCGTCTCGAATGTCCTACCATGACACAGGTTTCGTTGCGATGTTGATTCCGAGCCCAGTTTCGAGGCGCTCAGGGGGTTCCAAAAAATTGGTCTCCGCCCCTAGGCGTAATAATCGTATCTCTTTGGCATGTGTCAAAAGAGATCGTGGGAGTTCCGTGATGTCGCAGTAGTGACTTTTGTCATTATATCGTGCGAGCAAAGGGGAGATTCCTTCGTACAGGGTTTGAGGGGGTTCCAAATAATCGACCATCCTCGAAATCTGTACGAAGGGTTCACCCATAATCATGACTTGCGTTCTTTGTAGACTTTGATCAGTCAGGCTTAGCGATCTTGTGTTTGCTCGTTGCACAGGGTAATAGATACGCTGTTGTGCCATTTTCATAATTACTGGATCGTCTTCGTCACTACTATCTGCGTCCTTCGAAGATTGCTCACCGTCGGCAGAGTTGTCCCAGATAATCACGCGAAGAGTTCCCACCATTATTGGAGATACTCGCGGGGTTACATTAGCCATAGTTCGAAGAGTCAGTCTCATAGGTACAGCATAAGGCTTTGCTCCTGTATTTTGGAGGACAATCGATTGTCTTTCGAAATCCAGATTGGCTCGCAAGGCCACAAGATCGGGAAGGCCGAATAGGACGTCGTAAGTACTTACGTCTAAAACTACGACATCTCCCAAATCATGTACTTTCCCTAACCGGAAAGCAACATTGGTCATTCGTCCCACTGTTTTAATCTTTTTTTCGTCTGCTGAAACGAGCTGATCCTTTTCCGTAAGCATAATTAGATCATTCTTTCTACCTGACCTTTCAATTACTCGTAATGAGATAGCCAAAACAACGGCTCCAGAATCAATGATAGCGTTGTACGGGATTCCCCATACCTCGATATCGCATTCTGCGGATTTCCATGGGATTGGTTTAATCCTTAGGAAATGATCATCTTTTTGAATCAATCCTAATCGTATCGGGTCTGATGGACCTGCTGTATTTTCATCTGCCGTGGGGTTTTTCGCTTTTGTGCTCGCTGTTCGGGCAAGGGCGAATCGTTTCCGGTTCGTCTTGCAATGTTGCAGCATTCCTTCATTAGCTTGTTCCGATATCAAAAGTAGATGACCAATCGGAAGAGGAATCCGATGATCTGAAGCTCGCATGATGTTCAAAACATCGATTTCTCCCGTGACGAAGGTGGGTCCTCCCGACTCCATTTCCCCTGGAGAAGGTCGTCATTCTGCCACTTCCCTTTGTTATGGCACGGGTCTAATCGTTCCAATCATCCCAAGCCCTGAATAACGAAGCGTTACATACTGATCCAACGGGATTAGTTCAGTGGCTTCCTCCGTCGTAGCTAATGTGCTTCCGCCTCCTTCTATTTCTTCCATCAGTGCCCCTACCCGTCCCGGTCCGTTAGCGATCGGGGCTGCCACTACTGGTGCGGCTCCGACTCGCTGCTGGGGGGGTCGATGGGGGCAATCTCGGGCTATGTGCCCTGGCTGATGACACGTGTAACAGACATTTAGATTGCCAAGGATCCCTGCGGGAGGGGTTGCCGGAGCCAGCCCCTGTTGAATCGGGGCGGCACGCAACGCTATTGGTCGCATCGACCTCATCACTGCTTCTATCCGAGCATTGTGTTCCCACTCTTCCTTTTTGCTTTCCTGAATCAGATTGACCAGTGTTTTGGTTAGTTCCAATAGGGCGGAAGACTCATTCGGTCGTGCGGGGGTTTCGATCGAAGGCGGGGGTGTCGTCATTACAGGAACGAGCATGCTTGTAATCACACTCAGGACCGATCGTTTGGGACCAATCTGTTCTAGATAGGTGACTGAGACCACACAAACCCCATGTTTTCAAATTTGTTCTGCAGTGCAGCCAGCTCAGCTTTAGCTCTCGCTAGTTCGGACGAGTCTCCTTCCCTAGGGTAGTCTTCCCCTTCTAGGAAACTCGCAGCGAACTTTCGTTCCATTTCTCTGCGGCTGCCATGATCTGTTGCAGCGTGTGATTGATGGGACAGAACTGTTGTCGCAGTTTCGCCCTCATCATTCTGCTGTGAAGCCCATCGATAAAAAAATCTCTGCCTACCTGTTCGCCTCGTTCCGTTTTCACAAACATCCTGTAAAATCCATTTCGATACTCGGTGACAGATTCGAGGGGTTTTTGAACCCGGTCTTTAATCATGAAAAGGGCCTGTTCCAGGTGGATAAAGTCAAACCTGTTTAGAAAATCTCGCTCGAATGTCGGGAGATCGACCCATACATAGGTACTAAACCAGTGATGGGCATCTCCTCCCAATCGGGCGGGAATGTTCACCTGTGCCTCGTTATCATTGTACTGCTGAGCCCGGAGTTTGGCCAGCCATGCTCCTACGAGATGATGAGATGGATCGAACAGATAGAGATCGGGCGGCATCAAAGGAGCCCGTGCTCGTGGTACGGGTTGATTAGGATTTACATGTTGGTTGGGGTTTTGTTGTGGATTCGGGTTCTATTGATTAACGTTCATGTTGACCACCCATCGAGCCGCAGACCGGCTTCTAGTAACGACGGGGTCGCGTCGATGCACGTTCCTGGGTCGAGGTTGTCCCCTGTTAGCCAGATCGCTTAGTTTATCGTCCTAAAGAATCCTGTAACCCTGCCACGTGTCGGGCTCCGATACCAACCTCACGCCCGGCGCAACTTCCTGATCGGAGTGGGATGTGGGCCTGGAAGTGCGAAAAGGGGTGTGCCAAGGATTTTTGGGGAAAATGGGGGTGGAGTCCCAGGTCGGAACTAAGATCTCTTGTGGCAAAGTTTCAGGGGCATAGATGCAACAGAGCAAAGGGGGCGAGTTACTTCCGGTCTGATGGCGATCGGGGTCGTATAGCATAAGGCAGATGGCATGCGCGGTGCATTTAAGGCCGTCCGCTCCGTCTGTTTTGGTGGCGGCGGTCCGGGGAGAGGCCCGCTCGGGAGGGTTGGGATTCCAATGAGTCAGATCTTCGGGTGCAGACACGGGGCATCTGTCGTCGCGCGTTTTGGTTAGGCCCCGTAGTTCCAGAGGCTCGTCGGTTGCCGTGTCGCCGACAATTTCTGCAGGGTGTGCGGGGCCAATATGGGGCGATGGAATTCCACAGAACCACCGTGAGTAGGTGATACGAGAGGAGGAGACGAAAGGGAGGGAAATTGGTAGCGATGACGACAAAGTCGGGGGATATGCAGTATTGCGTGTTATACATAGTGGGAAAATCGGGGCACCTTGGGTCGCTGGTTATGGCACAGTGAAACTCCCTGGGGCACAATCGATTCTCGGTTAGGAAGGGGAATTCCGGGTATCTTTGCCTAATACACTCTCTCACCCAAGGGTCGAAGTATTCCGAGTCCCAGGAGCTCAGCATCTTGTCATTGCGGGGTAATGGAAGCCTTCCGCGCGCATCTAACTGGCAAGGGGATTTTCCCGATGTGATATCGGAAATTCCTATCCGTTTAGGTGTGTGGGGGAAGGAAAATTCCTGCTTATCGGGTACGGAGATGTCAGAAATGTCGAGGATCGCCGTGCGTGGATACGTGTTTGCTACGCAGATCGGATCACGCTTATACGTAGCCTCACGAGGTATTCGTTTGCTTCTAGTCATGCTAAATCGCTACGCGACACAGACAACTACCCAATCATCTAATCACTCAGTGATCCTACAAGCAGCCATTCCTGAGCATGCAAGGTGTCATCATACATCAGACGTCACAACAATATCAGAACTCCTATTCTGCTAACAGTGCATCAAAATGGCAAGCAATGATGATGACCGGGCAGGAAAAACCGGCAAAACATGTCATTCATACATCCATTCATCCGACAGAAGTTACAGAACGCACAATAAACGAGATCAAAAATCAATCGCAAAACGAGTGTAGGTTGAAGTCAAAGCCAAGATTCCGAAAACAAAAAGATGGGCGAATCGCCCTGAGCCGAGATCAAAATTTATATACAAAAGTAAGGAGAGAGACAAGACAAAGAAAATTGCAAATCCACGTCCATCAACCTCAGCTCTCTCCTTCTCTCTCTCTCTCTCTCTCTCTCTCTCTCTCTCTCTCTCTCTCTCTCTCTCTCTCTCTCTCTCTCTCTCTCTCTCTCTC